GTATAATGTAAGACTGAGGACTATTATTGTACAATGTAAGACTGAGGACGATTATTGTTTAATGTAAGACTGAGGACGATATTATACAATATTTGACTGAGGACGATATTGTATAATGTAAGACTGAGGACGATTTTATACAATATTTGACTGAGGACGATATTGTATAATGTAAGACTGAGCACGATTATACGATGTAAGACTGAGGACGATATTGTACAATGTAAAACTGAGGACGATTATTTTACAATGTAAGACTAAGGACGATTATTGTATAATGTAAGACTGAGGACGATATTGAATAATGTAAGACTGAGGACGATATTGTACAAGGTAAAACTGAGGACGATTATTTTACAATGTAAGACTAAGGACGATTATTGTATAATGTAAGATTGAGGACGATATTGTACAATGAAAGACTAAGGACGATTATTGTACAATGTAAGACTGAGGACGTATTGTACAATGTAAGACTGAGGACGATATTATACAATGTAAGACTGAGGACGATTATTGTTCAATGTTAGACTGAGGACGATATTATACAATGTAAGACTGAGGACGATTATTGTTTAATGTAAGACTGAGGACGATTATTGTACAATGTAAGACTGAGGACGTATTGTACAATGTAAGACTGAGGACGATATTATACATTGTAAGACTGAGGACGATTATTGTTCAATGAAAGACTGAGGACGATTATTGTACAATGTAAGACTGAGGACGTATTGTACAATGTAAGACTGAGGACGATATTATACAATGTAAGACTGAGGACGATATTGTACAATGTAAGACTGAGGCAATATTGTATAATGTAAGACTGAGGACGATATTGTACAATGTAAAACTGAGGACGATTATTTTACAATGTAAGACTAAGGACGATTATTGTATAATGTAAGATTGAGGACGATATTGTACAATGAAAGACTAAGGACGATTATTGTACAATGTAAGACTGAGAACGATATTGTATAATGTAAGACTGAAGACGATATTGTAAAATGTAAGACTGAGGACGATATTGTACAATGTAAGACTAAGGACGATTATTGTACAATGTAAGACTGAGGACGATATTGTACAATGTAAGACTGAGGACGATATTGTTCAATGTAAGACTAAGGACGATTATTGTACAATGTAAGACTGAGGACGATATTGTATAATGTAAGACTAAGGACGATATTGTAAAATGTAAGACTGAGGACGATATTGTACAATGTAAGACTAAGGACGATTATTGTATAATGTAAAACTGAGGACGATATTGTACAATGTAAGACTGAGGACAATATTATACAATGTAAGACTGAGGACGATTATTGTTCAATATAAGACTGAGGACGATTATTGTACAATGTAAGACTGAGGACGATATTGTTCAATGTAAGACTGAGGACGATATTGTACAATGTAAGACTAAGGACGATTATTGTACAATGTAAGACTGAGGACGATATTGTACAATGAAAGACTGAGGAGGATATTGAACAATGTAAGACTGAGGACGATATAGTTCAATGTAAGACTGAGGACGATATTTTATAATGTAAGACTGAGGACGATATTTTACAATGTAAGACTGAGGACGATTATTGTACAATGTAAGACTGAGGAGGATATTGAACAATGTAAGACTGAGGACGGTTATTGTACAATATAAGACTGAGGACGATTATTATACACTGTAAGACTGAGGACGATTATTATACACTGTAAGACTGAGGACGATATTGTACAATGTAAGACTGAGGACGATATTGTACAATGTTAGCCTGAGGACGATTATTGTATAATGTAAGACTGAGCACGATATTGTACAATGTAAGACTAAGGACGATATTGTACAATGTAAGACTAAGGACGATATTGTACAATGTTAGCCTGAGGACGATATTGTACAATGTAAGCCTAAGGACGATTATTGTACAATGTAAGACTGAGGACGATATTGTACAATGTAAGACTGAGGACGATATTGTACAATGTAAGACTGAGGACGATATCGTACATTGTAAGACTGAGCCCCATGTTTCCCTGGCTTAGATCTACAAACTATTTGTATAGATGCGACCAAAATTTTATAGTTTTGTAAAAAGATAAACAGTATTCAGGGTTACATGTTAGTGTTAATTGTGTACTCAATTTAAATACTTACAAAGAGATGTCGGCCACACCATAAAAAATGAACAGATTTAAAAAGGAAGCCAGAATACAAAGTTGTGAAATATCAATTTTCTGAGATAGAACGCGCCTTTACACATTTGAATTAACAAGCATGTCTTAAAACGTTTGTCAAACAAATTATTTTGTTTTAAAGAATACTATTACATGTACCGCATATGATTTCGAGTACAGATAACTGTAATTGAATCCGTCTTACTGCATTCCGACATTCGTTGTCCATGAAATATACCTACTGAGGTTACATGCACCTATTTACTGTGTTAACCTTGAAAAACATTGGATAACAAGTGCAGAGCAGCTGCATTTGACGTCATCGACCATTGCATACTTTATAAACGTCTGGAGTACTCTTATGGAGTGACTGATACCGCACAATGCTGGATACAGTCTTATCTGAGTGAACGACAACAGTGTGTTGCCATCGGATCTACCACCTCATATTTTGGGGTTCCTCAAGAGTCGGTGTGAAGACCACGAAAATATTGCCTGTACTCCAAACCGATTGGAGAGATTTGTCGTCGACATAGCCTCCGGATCCGCTATCATTCCTTTGCTGATGACACACAAATTTACATGGTCATCAAACCACAGGACAGTTGGGATACAGTTTCAGAAAGTCTGGAAGCTTGTCTGACAGATATCAGTACGTGGAAGACGCCAACATGCTAAATCTTAATCAGGAAAAGACGGAATTAATCGTTAAACCTTAAACATCCGTCAATATCTAAATGGCGACCAATCAGAACCCGACCTAACACGGACATTTTGTCAAATAAAAAAATCAACACAGATAGCAGTAGTGTTCGTAGTGACACTGCACACTTTAACTTGGAGATATTGGACAATGCATAAATTTCGACTAATCAGAAGCCAGTCTGCAGCAGCCATTTTGCGGAAGATGTTGGCCGTTTTTCCCACCTTCAAGAACACGATTATAATATTCAATTAAACAACTTGTATTGTGGTCCATAAATCAGAACAGAAATTATTATTGCCTGAAATGACTCGGCAAATGATAGGCCATGATTTAGATCTGTTCGGAAACGTTACATCGAATATTATTAGTGACTACATGTATTATATGAAACTGCGGCACACCTCTATTACTATTATACTTGTTTCCTTCTGTACAACCACGCATGCTTCTACATTGAATCTGTGTATGTTACATATATTTATATACCATTGTAAGTCAAAGATAAAATAAAACAAGAGGTCAAAAGGGTCTGTATCGCTCACCTGGATAAAAAAGCAACCATGAGAAACTATTCTTATTACAAACGATCCCTCCAGTGGTACAGAAGAAGAAGTATTTTAAAAAATTAAACCTCAAATTCCCCTATTGAGAACTGCAACTCTGCACCCAAAGGGGTCACACCCATCATTTATACAACATAAAGACCCTTTTGCCAAAAGATACTCCAGGCCAAATTCGGATAAAATCCCTCAGATGGTATATAAGGAGAGGGATTTTAAAGATTTAAATACCAATTTCCTTTGCGCCCCACCCCTCTACCCTCAAGGGGCCACATCCACCGTTTATACAATATCAGGTCCGTTTTGCCTAAGGATGCTCCAGACCTAATTAGGATTAAAAAAACGTATCCCTACCGTAGAAGCAGGGTTTTAAAGGATTAACCTCTATTTCCCCTATTGGGGCCCGCCCCTCTCCATTCAGTGGGTCCAATTTTTACAAAATGGAGTCCCCTTGGCCCAAAGATGCTCCTGACCAAATTGAGATGAAATCCAATAATCCCTATAGTAAAAGAAGGATTTCAACAGTGTTACCTCTATTTCCCCTATTGTTCCCCGCCCCTGCCCCAAGGGAGTCCAAACCAACCATTTATCTAAATCCCATAATCCCTACGATGGACGACGGACGCTGCGGTATGCCTTAAGCTCACCATCGTCCTTCGACCAGGTGAGCAAAAAAATGAAGTTCGAACAAGTTTGAAGTTTGCGCAGTAGTTTCTAAATAAACAGGCCTAAATATACCACAATCCCCCAAAATCAAAATCAGTGTTCGTACTCATGGCAAAGGGCAATATGCCTACTCCTGACACGATTTCTCATTGGGTGAGAAATCGTGCAGAGGTGAGAAATTGTATTGTCAATTGGGAAAAGTTTTACAGACACAGTCCATTATTTGGACCAGAAAATAATGCCCAGCACCAATGGCCCTTAGCAGCTGCCCATCCAATGTTTCATAGGGAACAGCTACAGCCCGCAATTGTCCACCCAAAATTGCATTACCTTTTGAATTGGTCAAGAAACACAAAGCAACATTATACACATCATTTCTCATTCTTGGTTACCTGTGCTGATGCCTGACGTGTTTTAACTATAATTTGATATTCGGTAACAGTATGTGACTAACCGTGTACCAACGATACACATAGCTGGACGTCTATATTGATTGCGTCCTACAGAAGTTATTTTGTATCTACTAAAACGGTGACAAAAATGTATTTATAGTGACCATTACTTTGGAGATACTACTTTAAAAGGAGAACTCGTTAGATGTATCTAAGTACTTGGTTCTTAAACAAAGCGTGTTGAACAAATGATAATAAATCAATCTTGGCGAAAATACAGATGTATATAGTCAAATAACGATGACCTTGACCTCGAGAAGTGCGTTCCGAAATATTAACCCGTTCGAAATACATATATTTAAGTTTTGAACTCTAATATTCCTATGTTGTGTTTAAAATAATTTTAACTATGATTATATTTTTAAATGAAACAGTCGATGACGTAATCGTTGACTGCGCACCGCCTAAATGATCGGATGTACCTACTCGTGCTTTGATTAACAACATGTTTAAGTGGAGTGTATAAAAACGTCGCCAGCAGCCAGCGAAATCATTAAAACCTCGCATCAGGAGAATCAACACGGCTCAGGTAAAGTAACACTTTATACTTCTTTGTATGGGACACTTTTTAAGGAAGACAAAATTTTGTCGATTTTATTCCAGTGCTATCTATTTCGTCCTTATTTAGTACGATTTATAGGATACCAGATGTGGTATACCGCTTTTTTTTGACAATATGTTTCTACCTTACAAGATATAAAGCGTTTCGGTCAATCCTCCAGAGACAGAAAAACATTGTACATTTTCCATTAATCATATTTGATCAAATTTCGGAAGATAAAACAGAGAATAATTAAAACTAGTTTCGGAATGGTGATATATGATTGGATCCCACACAAATCAGAAAAAGCATGTGCCATTAGTTACCTCACAGTATATTGCATTGTATGATAACGCAATGACATCACTTCATTGTATGATACCGTTGCTTGCTTTTTATCTCCGTTTATGATGCATCGCAAAAAAAGTACGACCACAATAGTTGCACAGAAATACCACAAATTATCTGGAAATCATCTTTGAATAACCATAAACTAAATGACAGGTATTAACATTAGTTTGTAAGCACTCTGTTACTGTGTAATTTTGTAATTTGAAGTATAGAGCTAATATATCACATATATATTTGAAGGGCGCGAACCAATCTACAAACGTTTATGTATGCATCATTACATTTCTGTGGTAGTAACTTTGCATGATAATATGTGTCTCCTACGCTTTGCTATGGTTTATATATTATTGTACAAAATATGATTTAGTAAAATACATTTTTATGATATCATGGATCCCTGATTGTGTAATGACACAGAAACGAAAGGAGCTTAAACCTACCGAGGTTTGTGTGGGATTTATGTAATAGAGTTAATAAACTATAGCATGAAAACTATTTAAAGATCTAGCTACATGTACCGTGCCGTAAGTCTAATATCTTATATAATGACGATGATAATGATGATGATGATGATGATGATGATGTTAAGAATAATGTCAGGATGATGATGATTATGATGAAAATGACAGATAAAAATGACAGATGATGATGTTGATGATGATGATGATGATGATGATGATGATGATGATGATGATGTCTAGTGTGAGTGTAAAGAGATTTGACCAAACTAGTTAAAACTTTATATACATCTTTGTTTAATGTGTATGGACAATCATGTACAAAACAATCAATGTACTCATGTATAATGTCATATGTTTTTTATTGTCTTGTAAAAAAATGAGGAAAAAAGTGATGTCTATTAAAAATGTCTATATTTCATTACTGTACGACTGTTTTGAAGGGTTAAGATAAATTTGCATTGATGGCACTATGAGTCTATACTTTACGAAAACAATATTGGGAACTCTTTAATGATATGTCTTTAAATAGCCTGAACAACAGTATTCATTGTAACTTTATTAGGCATTTACTGACACTCTTCATTGGCCACTCTTCCGTATATAATGCAGTCCGAAATGCGATTTCATCACACAACTACATACTACATTTGGCAATTTATGTGATAGAGTCGATGGTGGGAAATATTTAGAAAAGAGGACGCATGAACGGCCTTACTGACTATTGCGATGAGAGGCTGCAAGTCGGTAGGACCGCTTGCAATGAATAATGACTTGATATTTAAGAACACCTTTAACATCCAAAAAACTTCAACTTCTTTCAGCAAGTGTCGATTAAATTCTCCCAGGGGGATTGATGTGCAGCTTTCTTTCTCTCTGTGTGATAGGATAAACCAAGTATAAGATATATCATGGTTAAGTCCTGACGCATGAAAAACCAACCAATACACACCAATAATTAACGAGTTCCTGTTTTATAAAGGTGTGAAGTGATATCTGACGTAGTTTTAACACTGTCGTTTTATTCCTTGTCGCCTTATGGTTTGATGTTGTCGATACACTCCTTTATTTTATGTATGTGTTTTGCATGTCCTTGTTTTTATTTTTGCACTGGTATAGTGCTCAAAATCAAATGTTCTTGATTGAAAACAAAATATCAGACATATACGATGATAATGATATTGATAGTTACGTACTTAAAACTAACAAAACTAAAGACAAAAATCATTAAAACTAGGACAAGTTATTAACCGTAAAAGTACAGGATGTGTACAGTTGTGGTCTTGGTTGTATTTCATTTAGGGTCGTATTTACAGATTATTTAGGGTCGTATTTACAGATTATTTAGGGTCGTATTTACAGATTATTTAGGGTCGTATTTACAGATTATTTAGGGTCGTATTAACAGATTATTTAGGGTCCTACTAACAGATAATTTAGGGTCCTATTAACAGACTATTTCAAAGCTGCCTCTTACAAAATATAACGGGTAACTGTATGTATACTCTTTTCTCAATCTCAGACATGCAGAAGCATATAGTAGCTACATATTATGTTTTACAGGATGTGCACGGTAATGACTAAGTCAGCTGTAGAATAGGAGTTCAACCATTCAAAACACACAAGTCACTTATATTATAATGGTGGTGTTCTGCTCTGACTCGCGTAGTGACAACATTGACATGTTTTGACATGCAACTGTATCAGTATTTGATCAAAAGCTCACTTAACATTCAACCAAGGAGCAAGGTCGATCCTTTATTTCGTTAAAACGACATAAGAGATATAATATATCTCAGATGTCAGATATAAACCCTGTGCTCGCTTGCCATAACATCATGTATGTTCATTATATAACTTCTTAATCGGGGTGTTTGGACATTTCGTAACTTCATCATATCGCGATGGAGGCTAACTTCAAAGCGATTGCAGGTATATGTCCAATACATGAGCTAGAAGTAATTTTAATTGGACTCATTTCATTTTATCACACCGGACCTGGAGTCATGTTGAAATCGGTGTTTTCTGGACATTGTTCTACTCTCGTGTAAAATGTAATAAAGGATGGTGCGTATAGCACGCTCAATGGTCGATTGTTAAATATATTTACTACTAAAACAGCTAATTAGTCCCTTTCATACGGCTTCAGTTACGGTAATATTTTTTAATTGTTTCCTTGTTCCGCATAATGATTAACTTGTATATCACGTTATCATACATTCCCTTATCATATTGAGTGTTTAAATATATCAGCGTGGTGTTGTTTTAACGCCAGTCCTGGGAATTGAAGCATTTTAAGTTTGTCTCTCTCCTCTTTGACAGATATTTGAATCCAGGTAACTGTTCAGTAACTTTTTCATTCTACCCTCCATTTTTCTATTGTATACAATTAATATGAACGCTTTATTGGGCACGAGAAATATATAAGAGGACGTACTATTCTCTTGTATTTCCACTGATCGGGATGAGATTTGAGCAGTCATCTGTAACTTGGAATATTGCTACGTGTCAATACGTCATGTGATGTTAGCACAGTTAAATATGTTTTTATCTGCCTTTCTTTTTAATGTAGGTAATTGCAGGTAGTGGTCCGGGATTTAGCAGCTGCTGACCAAGACAGACAGGATGACTACACCCATCAAAAACCCCGAGATCAGATTTAAACAAGTACGTATCAGGCAAGAAAACAGTTAAAAAACTTATAACTTCATAACCAATATTTATACCTAACCATAAACATGTCGTACATATGGTCTTACTCACGTCCTTGTTGGTACAACCTCGGAATAGTGTTCATATTGGCAGCATATCATGGTTTATGGTTTATGGAGCCTTGGTAAGGTCAACGCTGTAAGTTTATATTTAAATGAGGTGAATAAATTAAATCTTGAAGATAGTTTACGGATCATTGGTTACTGTCTTCTATGCGTCTGATCATTATGTTCTAACATACGCATTGTGATAACATATTTAATCCCAGTACATTTATCTACCATGCCTATATACGTCACTGAAACTAGAATCGTGTTTTTATACGTCACTGTTACTGTAATACTGTCTATACACGTAACTGAAACACTAATCATGTATTTACACGTCAATGAAACAGTAACCGTGTCTTAATAAGTCACTGATACAGTACTCGTGTCTATATGTCACTGTAACGGACTCGTGTCTATATGTCACTGAAACAGTAATCGTGTCTATTTGTCACTGAAACAGTAATCGTGTCTATATGTCACTGTAACGGACTCGTGTCTATATGTCACTGAAACAGTGATTTTGTCTATATATGTCTCTGAAACAGTACTCGTGTTTATACATGTAAATACGTCACTGAAACAGTAAGAGTGTCTATATATGTCAATGATACAATAACCGTGTCTATACACATCACTGAAACAGTAATCGTGTCTATATGTCACTGAAACAGTGATTTTGTCTATATATGTCTCTGAAACAGTACTCGTGTTTATACATGTAAATACGTCACTGAAACAGTAAGAGTGTCTATATACGTCACTGATACAACAACCGTGTCTATATAAGTCACTGAAACAATATGTCTATGTCAATGTTTACACATTGCTTACTATTTTGAATAGTATTATTATTTCCGATAAATGATAATTGATAGCAATGCAGTGTGCACCACGTGTAGAGATAGAATATATTGATAGCGATGAGCTATTCAGAAATAGTTCCTACAAATGAGAGAAAAAAATTCTAGTTTATTATTTTTGGTTCACTCGACCATTTTCCGTCAGAATAGTAAACTATTTGTGTTACTGAAAACGTATTTGATAGGTGAAGCGTGAACAAACCTGCCTTATCGAGTGAGTTGACTTTTCTGTGTTTACTGTCCCGTGTCGAACAAATTGCATGATCATTTGTCACACTAGTCAGAAAATGTTATACAATCTTAGTCATTGAAGACTTACCATTGTAAACCATTTAAACCTGAAATGCACATTGCATATAGGCGTACAGAAATATACATATTGATAACTACTGTACAAATATCTTGTACAATGGCGGAGAACATATGCAATAGATTCAATTCCATACATATTAATTACAAATTCATGATATTGTCATAAGTTGGGGAAAACTTTAAGCTTTTCCTAAGGTTACTTAGCGGACTCTTATGAAGCATAATTTAGTTATTTACGAAATAATACAAATAAACCCTTAAGCTAACCAAATTTCTAGGAAATAACAAAACTTCAAAGTCAGTCATACAACCTCAACATGAAGGTAGAAACGAGTACTATATATTTTATAATGAAATGAGATTATAACTCATTGTGAAGTAAAAGACATAGATTTCAATCGCATTATACAGTAACAAAACGTATACAGCAAGACTTTGATACAGCTTATATATCATAATATACGACTTCTCTTAACAGTTGCTTGAATCAAGTACTTACTTAAATTTCTAATAAGTTTAAAAACTTTGCTAGACAGTAGCTCTATCAATTTAAACACAGAAGGACGAAAACGATAATATGGCTTGATGTACGATACTCTTCATTCTAAAAATACAGGACACATTAGAATGAAATGAAACTCATCCTCGACATTTCCAAGATCACATAAAGTACACAATCTCTGGTTTCGAGGCACTGCATTATATCTACCTGTCTCTATATTAAGGTTATGTGCTTGCAATCTGTTCTTCGCAAGAATACATTTACTTTTTCTAAATAGCGGTTTTGCAAAAAAAAACATTGCAGATCAAAACGGTCAACCATGTGTTTATACAAAAAACGTTTTGAAGATGTCTCGAATATGTTTCTCATTTCCTGAATAAAAGTACCCTTTATGCGTTGTAGATATAATGATAAAATATTTCTCATTAAATGAACTTAAATCAATATGTTGATTAAACACCTATTGATATCGTTTTCGACATTATGAATTTACAGCATTTCAGTACATAAATGAAATAGTATGTATACAATAACATAACGTTCCATTTGGGGCCAGAATATATTATAATCATTAAGTTTACACTATTTTTGGAATTTAGTATTAGCACCATTGAGACACTTGTTCCTCCCTCCTCACATAAATACATGTTTTGTTAACACATGGATACGATGTACTAGGTGATATACCTAGGAGATATAACTTACACTAACTAAATCAGATACATGTATAATGCTATATAAGTAAATGATTACATTACCATGATACACGAATCCTACTTTTCGTGATGTTCTCCATGGGTTTGGGCGGTATCGCCTCTGGTACAACACGGCAGTATGCAGTACTGCGGATTATTGGATGCAGAACTTTTGCGACACTTACTTCATGTTTTGATAATACAGTAAATATGAACGTAATCACACACAGGTAATTGCACCAGTAAAATTTGGCAAATCATACAGTATGCAAAAATGAATTACTCTGCACCATACAGTTATTGAGTGTTCTAAAAATGAAACGGTTCATGCAATTTATTACGGCATGCGAAATACATTTACATGTATTCATATTTGCTCTTAATTGCCACTATATGGTTATGAGACCTTAATTCTGGGGAGCTGAACATGCAAATGTAACGAATATACAGTATCGAATGATATCCCCCTTATTTGTCTCGTGTTGTAGTTGTTTATCAACAACGAGTGGGTCAACGCTACTAGCGGAAAGACTTTTCCTGTCATCAACCCGGCCAATGGTAAAAAGATAGCTGACGTACAGGAAGGGGATAAGGTTAGTCAAGTGACAGCATCACGTACACTACATGTAGCATTTTGTTGAGCCTAACCCTAATATACATATACGATGTTTGTTTCTTTGAAAATATGGTTGATTGCCTCTAAGCAACCCTTATATATGACATTCTTTTGTTTTCTCCCAATAAACCCCACCTCGTTATTTGATTTTATGAATGAATCAAAGGTGTTGAAGAGTTTATTAGGTGCTGTCATCTTACAACAAAACATGAGTAGACCACGTCGATCTGATCAGCATTACTGTTCTTTAAACCAATGCCACTACATACAGATCTACATCAGCCGTTTACCTCGATCTCTATTTACAACATGATTAACAGGACTAGGAATTGTGTACTACTAAGCCGTACTATAAGAGTTGACGTTTACGGTTTTTTCGATAATGAACGTTCACATCTATGCTTCTCAAACATATGTTTTTACTTGTCAAAGTTGATTCCGTAGTGAAAGGCGTTCTCAGAACATTTAGATTTCCGTAATAAGTGTAGGCTGCCGAGCAATGTTTATGGTCGCCATGATCTCCTTGAGAAATAATCTATTTCGTTTTGTTATATCAAGGCCAATGATTTTGAAAACGATCATTAGAGTGCCTTTCTGTTTTATTGTCACCACCCTAGTTCTTGTTACGGGGACATGCCATTACTTAGTTTTGACCTAGATTTACATTGCGGGAGTCGTCGATAAAGCAGAAGATGCTTACACTTGCAGAACATCTGGGCCAGACTCTTGAAACCTATCTCATACTCAAGCATGGATTTTGTGCTCAAGCCTAATTTCATGTTCCGGTTAGAAACTAATATAAACAAATATTTTGTCAATGATTTGGAAATAAATTCAGAGAATTTAAGCCGAATACTATTTACAAAGGTAGCATTGGACTTTTTGAGCACAGAATCTATGTTTGAGGGCCTTGGTCTTATTCCCCTTAGATATTTCAATGGCGCCTTGCAAAATATTTCTTTTGTTGATATTTTGCATTCACAGAAACGATAGCCAATAACATCTACTGGTATGTTTTCACTTTCCATGTTTGAACATGAATAAGAATGAATTATCCCACTTTAGCATACATGTAGTTATTTCTATAGTATTTCCTACGTGTTGGTCAAACTTACGCATATGTCAAGTATTACAAAACATTCTTCTATATATTAGATGGTTTCTATACAGATGGTCTTTTAGGAATACGTACATTATTGTTAAATGACAGGCCGATGTCAACAAGGCTGTAGCTGCGGCGAAAAAGGCATTCCAGACTGGGTCTGTTTGGCGTGATATGGATGCTAGTGACCGAGGCCGACTTCTGAACAAGTTGGCCGATCTGATAGAGCGGGACCAACTCTACATTGCTGTAAGTTGCTGTTGTATCACTGTAAACTCAAGCTTTGATCGAACGTAACACACAGTTTGAAAACAGGGTTCGGACACATTCAGTGTATCTAAATTGGGGAATTGTACTGTTCATTGCAACGCCTGCAAAATGCAAAATCCGTGTAGTAAACAGTAAACAGTTGATCGTCTGTCTTTACAGAGCCTTGAGAGTCTCGATAACGGTAAACCATTTTCTGACTCCTTCAACATTGACTTGGTCCTGGTGTGCAAGTGCCTCCGGTACTATGCCGGGTGGACAGACAAAATCTGTGGCAAGACCATCCCCATGGGTAACGTATACAGTACAACACATTTGTGCTGCTTTCTTTACATGTTTAACCATTGTTTGGATCTTTTTAATGTTATTATTTTTGTTCAAAATAATAATAAAAAAAAAATATTTGAATAAGATATATTTTTGGAATTATCTTTAACGTTAAAAGCAGTTGAAGCTCAAATTAACTTAAATACTGGTGACTTTAACGACAGTACGTATTGTTTACGGTTCCAAGTTATTTATCAATTTTAACCTAGGTCAATATTACTTTTAACACAAACCATTTCAATTTCTTGACATCACGCTTTGCTGGTTATGCAATATACATTGATACTTTAACCTGATTATCTAAATCGTTTGATAACGTATTTCTTTAATATGACTGTACGCGTAGTATTATTTTTGAACTTCGATATAATGCAAACAAAATGAGTTAAACTGTTAATTATCCATCGAATAACTAGGCACATATTTTAATGACATTTTCTGTGGAAACATATTTAAAAATAATTTGTGATGATGCTAAAACATTCCTTTGTAGACGGCAACTTTTTCTGCTACACGAAACTTGAACCTGTTGGTGTATGTGGTCAGATTATTCCTGTAAGTTAATTTCAAACACTAATAATCTGTTCATATGTTCTAAACCCTAAGATGCACTTGAATCATCTACTAAGCATTAAATACCAATTAAGTTAGTTGATTAATTGATTAACTATTTACCATATCCTTATAACGAATACTAACCATTACTTCCTACTAATAAGGAATATGTACCCCTCCTATAAAGAATCACTGCCTCCCTTAAAATAATGTTAACAACCTCGATATAAAGAATACATACATGTACCACTTCCCCGAAAATGACAATTACATATACCACCTTTGCATTAACGATAATGATCACCTTCGCATTAAGGTAATATACCACAACAATAGTATTTTCAGTATTACCACCGCCCCAAGGAGAATGTTAAATGATCGTACATATCTCTCTGTTTTTTCCAGTGGAACTTCCCCCTACTGATGCTGGCCTGGAAGATTGGCCCGGCTATCGCCTGTGGTAACGTAGTAGTCGTCAAACCGGCCGAGCAGACCCCACTGACCGCTCTCTACTTCGCCTCTCTCACGAAGCAGGTACGACCATCGGTCGGTCGATCTTTCCAATATTAAAAACAATTAAACCTTTCTACGATACTTTCTTAATTTCTTATTTATTAATTGCAAGTCATTTCTGTTTATTAACATAAAAAATAACACTTTGCTACATGATATACACATTTAATAATAAAATGTATGTCTGTTGCTCATGCCACCAATTTCTGTTTCGCTTTGTTTTCAACTTTGCGACGTGTAGCATGTACTTAAGAAGACCATTTTTGAGAGATATATGTATGTTTTGTTAAGTTAATTATTTGTGTAACTGCCCAATGCAGGCTGGTTTCCCAGCGGGTGTGGTGAACATGATTCCTGGTTACGGACCAACAGCAGGTGCCGCCATCTCCGAACACATGGACGTCGACAAGATTGCCTTTACTGGGTCTACAGAGGTACGTATTCTGTTAAAATAGTATATAGTTGATTTCTACAATACAAAAGACACCCGCGGAGAAATGTTGTCGGATTTTGTTTCTCGTCACAGGTGGGTCAGATTGTGATGCAGGCCGCAGCACGTACCAATTTGAAGGGAGTCACATTGGAACTTGGCGGGAAAAGTCCTAATGTTGTATTTGCTGATGCTGATCGTAAGTAACGTTCTTCTCTCAATCTCTGTATTTTGCTCTCTTTCCCTCTATATCTCCCCGTCCTTCTGTGTCTATGTCCTTCTGTTTCTCTCTCGGTCGATAGATATAGAAGGAGATTTAGTTAAAGTAAAAAACGTGTTCAAGTTATCCTTTTGTTTGTGAAGGAAATAACATAACATAGACGTTTGAAAATTGCAGCCCTCGTTCGCTAATGACTCTTAAGGCCCTTCGAGGTGAATCTATAATGGAATTTTGTTTCCAATTGACAGTGGACATAGCAGTAGAGGCGTGTCACAACGGACTCTTCTTCAACATGGGCCAGTGCTGCTGTGCCGCGTCCAGGACTTATGTCCAGGAAGAGATATACGAAGTCTTCACCAGGAAACTGGTAGACAAAGCCAAGAAACGAGTGGTCGGAGATCCTTTCGATCCAAGGTCCATGTCTGGACCCCAGGTAAATGAAATTCATCTACTTCATATCTTATCATGCATTAGCTTGCAAACATTTCCACATGCGATATAACCAGTCTCGTGAAATTCTTCCATTTTATTTCATGTACGAACACGTATATCGAATTCAACATATTGAACACGAACAATTTGTTTTCATTTAATGTTATATACTCCATGTGCATGTACACAGATTCACTGTTACTAATAGTTATTTGAAAAATTTCAACAGATATATTGGATGTTCATACATTTTCTTAAGATACACGAAGTAAGAGAGAATCACTGTTACGGCACATAGTGTCACCAATTCAAATTCCTGTGTTGAGGAAACGCTTGCTCTCTGGGTAAAGGTAACACTATTTCACAACTATCTGATGCAGGACACATTATATACGCATTTACTTAATGGTGACTGATACAATATGAACTGTTACACACAGGTGGACCAGGAACAACTGGACAAGATCTTGGCCCTGATAGCCAGTGGGGTACAGGAAGGAGCCAAGCTGGAATGTGGTGGCAGGCGTCAGGGGACCGAGGGCTACTTCGTACAGCCAACCGTGTTCACTGGTGTCACAGAAGATATGCGCATTGGCAGGGAGGAGGTAGGTTGATCTTTCATGAACGGTGAACGTTTTAAATTAAATGACAATTTTTTTAAATGAGAAGCTGGCACATCACATTCAATATAAAGCAGGTCTGTTTATCAAACAACAAACATTTGATCATGCGTACCAATAGGTCACTTAAATGCACTGATTTTATGACACTTAACAAGTAACGCTGGCAGGAAAAAAAATGGTTTAAATGGATATATTTGTTGTTTGTTATCTTTGTCTTCATGTCCTACATTCTCCACACTCCGTATTACAGATCTTTGGTCCCGTACAGCAGATCATCAAATTTAGAACGATGGATGACGTCATACAGCGATCAAATAAAACTACCTACGGATTAGCGGCTGCCATATGCACCAAAGACATTGACAAAGTTATGACCTACAGTAGCCAGGTCAAGGCTGGAACAGTCTGGTACGCAATCCTCTTCCTGTTTGCATGGATATGTTTCAACCGTTTGCATGGGTCTTCGAAGAAAACAACTTACAATTATCATGGACAGATGATCTGAGTTCCAAAGTTTGCTTGGGAGCATCAGTCGCGCTATTATTTCTTTAAATGTTTGGTGTAGCTAGGCAGACTTTACTAAGTTGTTCGGTGTAGTGAAGGCAAGTTAACTACTGTGATATGTGTAAATGGTCGGAATGTATTACTATGTTCGTTCTAGTCAAACATAATGTAACACTGTAACAGGTGCAGTGAGGCAGAATGTACAGCGATGTTCGGTGTAGTTAGGCAGAATGTAACACTGTAATAGGTGTAGTTAGGTAAATTGATTACTTTGTTCGGTGTAGTTAGGCAGAATTTATGTATGATCGGCGTAGTTAGGCAGAATATGCTATTGTAATAGGTCCAGTGAGGCAGAATGTACAGTGGGGTTCGGAGTAGTTAGGCAGAATATATGTATGTTCGGTGCAGTTAGGTAGAATGTACAGCGACGTTCGGTGTAGTTTTGCATAACATATGTAAAACAATTTCTATACTAGCTACCTTGTCGCCTTTTGTCATTTAATTGTTTTCTTTTCATTTTAAAAGGTATTGTTATAAATGCATCATTTAAAAAGCGCAACATGTTTCAGAAAAGTCACAAAATGATATTTAAATGATTGATATTTGTGTAACATTGTGGAAGTATAAATACGCTGATGTATTTAGGTTGTCATTGTAATACCTTTGCGTCAGTATCAAATGCGTTTTCGATGTTTTATAGGAGGGAAGTAGAAAGGTCGTAACAATTTTCCTCAGACAGGCAGTCCGTCTTCAATTCTGAGGAAGTGACATTCAAATCGTTATTAACATGGATGGCAGAATCTTTTTTAGAGCCATAAACCTTTCACAAGTTCACTTTGCTTTTGCTCGCATGAGTAGTACATAGCTGGGTAAAACTAAAGCTGGATCAGAATTTTAAATAACAGTTTTATAACGAATTGGTTCCCTCTTAGCTTTTAGTTTGATAGGGAAAATATAACGGCAAAGATTTTATTTGGAACGGTCTCGAACGTAGGTTTAAGTTTAACAGGACACATGATGACGGCAACAGTTTAATTTTAATTGGGTATAATTTTCTTCTTTGACTGCAGATTGACAGAATACGGTTTGAGAACATTTTTCTTGGGAACGGGTTCTCTCTTAAGTTTGACAAGACACATAACGACGACAACAACTTTATTTCTTATATTTTTACAGAAAACGAATTGAGAACAATTTTATTAGAAAATGACATTCCCGGGACACCTGGTACCTGGTTTACACTCCCGGGATACCCTGTACCTGGTTTAAATTCCCGGGACACCCGGTACCTGGTTTACACTCCCGGGACACCCGGTACCTTGTTTACTTACATTCCCGGGACACCCGGTACCTGGGTTACACTCCCGGGACACCCGGTACCTTGTTTACTTACATTCCCGGGCCACCCGGTACCTTGTTTACTTACATTCCCGGGACACCCGGTACCTGGTTTACACTCCCGGGACACCCGGTACCAGATTTACACTCCCGGGACACCCGGTACCTTGTTTACTTACATTCCGGAGGCACCCGGTAAGTACCTGGTTTACATTCCCGGGACACCCGGTACCTGGTTTACATTCCGGGGACACCCGGTACCTAGTTTACATTCCCAGGACACCCGGTACCTGGTTTACCTTATGGAGACACCCGGTACCTGGTTTACCTTATGGAGACACCCGGTACCTGGTTTACCTTATGGAGACACCCGGTCCCTGGTTTCACGTTCTGTTCCCGATGTCTACCTCCTTTGTGTTGTTTTATGTGTTGTGTTAGATGCTATCTTTTCCTTTAGCTTTAGGCCGTTTGTGTTTATTTTGAGATAGAGTTTTATTTCTAGATTATTAGCTGCATTCCAACGTTTTGATTTGTGTACATGTAATCTAACGACCATCATCATGATTCAGGGTCAATTCCTTCAATGTGTTTGGCGCCCAGTGTCCCTTTGGTGGATTTAAGATGTCTGGTACTGGACGGGAACTGTAAGTATATGTCATTATCTACTTCTCTTTGTTAAACATTCTTATTGATTAGCGTACAGTTTAAAATTCATTCAGATATGTAATTTACATGTCAGCGATGATATGATACAGCATTATATTCTTTTGTTCATCCTTTTCAGTGGAGAATCTGGTTTGGAGCAGTATTCGGAAGTCAAAACGGTAAGACAAATTGACTACTATCTTAAATACCCTTCTCGTATTGAGATTTTTGAGATGTTACATACATGTATTGAGCCGAATGTATTGATATGCATTCAAGATTACCATGTTTGGTTAGTTTTAGAATATCTAATTATTTAACTGTTGTTTAAACAATTATTACACTGGAGAAGCATAAGTGATCCCCGAAAATAAGTTAGAAATCTTACTTTATTCTGCGAAACATATCATGAACACAAACGAGGGTTGTTGATTGCTTTATAATTCTCTCTTTTGTAGGTCATAATCAAAACTCCAACCAAAGTGTAGTTTGCGATGTGAGGGAACTTTAACCCACCAGAGGAACAAGAGTTATCCATCTTGTGTTGGACTGTTTGTGTAGTATGCCTTTCAGCTCAGCTCTTTTACATGTTACGTCACGACGCCTCGCATGCGGCAGTGTTTTTATCCCGCTTGTTAGTATTGTAAGCATATTATAACGTACACAATAGAAAAAAACATGTTACACTTTCTATTGATCAATAAAGGAAATACACATACATTTATCACGACATATATTCAATATCTTTAGTAACGATATGTTGGCGTCAACCAACATAAATAGTACATACCTTATTGGTAAACATTGCAAGGAGAGGAAGCAAACACCAAGCAAAGTCAGGACGGGAAGCAAAAAGCAAATAAAGTAAAAAGACATGAAGCAAATATCAACAAAATAAAGACACGAATTAAAAATCAAACAATACACGGTAAGGAAACACATATCAAACAAAGTAAAGACAAAACAGGAAGCAAATATTAAAAAAAAGAAATGACTGAAGGGGAGTATCAAACAAAATAAAGAAATAAAGAAAATATCAAACAAAGTATAAAAGGACAGGAAACAAAAATCAACCAAGGTTAAGCCAGGAAGCAAATATTTAACAAAAGTAAAAGACAGGAAGCAAATATTATACAAAAATAAAGACAATACGAAAGCAAATATCAAGAAAGGAAATGATTTAACTCAATTATCAAACAAAGTAAAGACAGGAAGCAAATATCAGTCAATACAAGGACACGAATTAAATATCAAACAAGAAAAGGAGGAAGCACATATCAAACAAGGACAGTGATAACATGTCAAACAAGGACAGTGATAACATGTCAAACAAGGACAATGATAACATGTCAAACTATATAACTTATTGAACGTAAACGATGCTCATAAGGCAATATAGTTCATAGCAAAGTTATAAACCATCTTTTGTATATATATATATTAAATTTATGAATTTTTTGATTAATAAAAGGACTAACGAAGAATATCTGCATTGTAAAATCTTGGTTTATTTCCGTTTAGTTAACGATGTTATTTTACCTTTATTAATGAGAAATACTCAAACATAAGTTACGGACACCTTCCGTGAGGTGAAACGCTAACATCAACATTCCTATTGACAGCAGAATACCATCACTGTTCATCGTTAGGTTTATCAAGGCATGGGACAGAATACCACCACTGTTCATCGTTAGGTTTATCAAGGCATGGGACATAATACCACCACTGTTCATCGTTAGGTTTATCAAGGCATGGGACAGAATACCACCACTGTTCATCGTTAGGTTTATCAAGGCATGGGACAGTATACAACCATTGTCATCGTTAGGTTTATCAAGGCATGGGACAGAATACCACCACTGTTCATCCTTAGGTTTATCAAGGCATGGGACAGAATACCACCACTGTTCATCGTTAGGTTTATCAAGGCATGGGACAGAATACAACCACTGTTCATCGTTAGGTTTATCAAGGCATGGGACAGAATGTATCCTTAATTGTATCATATATTGTACTCGGAAAAATATATTGAACTTTAGATAAATTGAAAATCAGAAAACGGTCTGTCAGTGTCAATATTTTGTTGAATTCATCGTTGAAGGAATATAACACTTTTAAAAATATATATAACAGTACTTTTTTTATTGTATTGTTAGGATAATCAATTAATGGTTTTAGTCCTGATTAAATTATACTTTCATACATACATGTATTTATATATCTTAAAGTAGTTATTGATTATTTGTTGATAGTATTTAAAGTGCCTTAAAAACATGCTTTTTGTTAACAGTTTGAATAAAACATATGTAATTGCTACGAATTGTTGTCACTTTTTTGTACTTATTATTAATCATTAAAGAGAGCCCTCATAAACCCCGTATTTAAAATGCCTCTTTGTCCACGGCGTGGTCATACCAATTATTTATACAATTTTGAAAATTCGTTTGCCAAGTAATCCGTTTAACTGAATAAGATTACATGTATTTGAGAAAAAGAATGATATTTTGGTCAGGTAATGAGGCGATCACTCCCAATACATGTCGACAAGTGTAAATTGGATATTGATATGCGTTGAAGATATCTATGATAAACTGACTCCTGCTGCTAAACAAGAGTTATCACCTCATAACGTGACAAAAATAGAAAACTATTCCTTACGGTTACAGTAAAGCCATGTGAATGTTTCATACTTTAACTGTTTTATTCATTAGTCTGATCAGCGAGCACACATTTACTTCAAAACATATTACCGTGTGATCAGTTCAATGGGAACGAAAGATGGACGATGCACCATGGCATAAACTAATTTAAAATATTGACGACATTCCTCAGATTTCTGATTCAAAAAATGACAGCATGGATTTTACCTGATACCTATACATAATTCAATTTAGCAGAATGTGAGTACCACGCAGATATCCAGGTCTTACGGTCAATAGGATGGAATGTGAGGAATTCCAAATATTTATTTATATGTGTTATCACTGATTCTTGCCAAAGACAGGATTTCAGATCGTGCGTATATGTACCTAGATAATGCTATTGCACCTGGTCATCAATTTAGTACAGAATACTGATAGAGCAGAACGTAAATAGCATACTGATCTGTTAAATAACAAACAACATAATAGATACCGAAAATAGACGTCGACGTAAACAACATCAAACTGAATAGGAAGTGTTTACCGTGATGTGGGAGGCTGATGGTAAACGTCCAGTGAGACGGAAACCAAGATATACCACAGTCCCAACATACAAAACGAAACCGAAAGTCAATGTCGATAATACAACACCAAAAACTACATCAAAACAGAATTTAAAAAGCCATGAACACCACATATAGCAGACACTAACCAAGCTGGTGCTGAAAAATCATGAAGGTTTATTCAAAATCGCATTCACAATGAATATCTAAGCACAATGCACATACTATGTAACATGTAAATCGACTAATTAACTGTAATTATTCATGATGGAACCTAGTCTTATACACCGATTATCACATGACTAACAAACTTTGCATTTAATTAGCCAAATGATGTCAATTAACCGTTGAGGGAAAACATATTACATAATATATATACTATAAAAGCGTAATACTCTATATTCCCGCTTTTCCCCTGACTTCGTTATTAACTTTGAACTCATTTTTTTTGTGTTAATCCAAAAACTTCCTCAGTTTCACTCCTGGTACATACATCATTACAGAAAAACAGAAAGAAAAGACGAATTATAAATTTCACATTTTCAAAAATCGTTACACTAACAAATACAATATGCTTTTATGTTTGAAACAGTAAAAACACTTTTTTGCGAACTTTTGAAAATATCTGTTTCTGTCTAGCAAAGAGTGCCAATGACCGGTGTTTTGTCTCTGAATCGCTGCCAAATCGGTCGACAGACTTGGCACATTGTGAGTTATTATCAGCAGTAAAGAGTCGAGACAACGTCATTAGCAGTCTTTGCTTGATAAAGGAAACAGACGTTTCCAAATGCTGTTGACATTGCATTGCAGTTTGTCCTTGTGTATTGACAGTGACTTATATGTATCCTTGTGCATTGACAGTGACTGATACGTGTCATTGTGCATTGACAGTGACTGATATGTGTCCTTGTGTATTGACAGTGACTGATACGTATCCTTGTGTATTGACAGTGACTGATATGTCTCCTTGTGCATTGACAGTGACTGATATGTGTCCTTGTTTATTGACAGTGACTGATATGTGTCCTTGTGTATTGACAGTGACTGATATGTGTCCTTGTGTACTGACAGTGACTGATACGTATCCTTGTGTATTGACAGTGACTGATATGTGTCCTTGTGTATTGACAGTGACTGATATGTCTCCTTGTGTATTGACAGTGACTGATATGTGTCCTTGTGCATTGACAGTGTCTTATACGGGTCCTTGTGTATTGACATTGTCTTATATGTGTCCTTGTGTATTGACAGTGACTGATATGTGTCCTTGTGTATTGACAGTGACTGATATGTATCCTTGTACATTGACAGTGACTGATATGTGTCCTTGTTTATTGACAGTGACTGATATGTGTCCTTGTATATTGACAGTCCTCGTACATTGACTGGGACTGATATGTCTCCTTGTGTATTGACAGTGACTGATATGTGTCCTTGTACATTGACAGCGACTGATATGTATCTTTGTACATTAGCAGTGACTGATATGTGTCCTTGTGTATTGACAGTGACTGATATGTGTCCTTGTGCATTGACAGTCCTCGTACATTGACTGCGACTGATATGTGTCCTTGTGTATTGACAGTGACTGATACGTGTCCTTGTGTATTGACAGTGACTGATATGTGTCCTTGTGCATTGACAGTGACTTATACGTGTCATTGTGCATTGACAGTGACTTATACGTATCCTTGTGTTTTGACATTGTCTGATACGTGTCCTTGTGTATTGACAGTGACTGATATGTATCCTTGTGCATTGACAGTCACTGATATGTGTCCTTGTGTATTGACAGTGAATGATATGTGTCCTTGTGCATTGACAGTGACTAATACGTGTCATTGTGCATTGACAGTGACTTATACGTGTCCTTGTTTATTGACAGTGACTGATATGTATCTTTGTACATTGACAGCGACTGATATGTGTCCTTGTGTATTAACAGTGACTGATATGTATCTTTGTACATTGACAGCGACTGGTATGTGTCCTTGTGTATTGACAGTGACTGATATGTGTCCTTGTGTATTGACAGTGTCTGATACGTGTCCTTGTGTATTTACAGTGACTTATATGTATCCTTGTGCATTGACAGTCACTGATATGTGTCCTTGTGTATTGACAGTGTCTGATACGTGTCCTTGTGCATTGACAGTGACTAATACGTGTCATTGTGCATTGACAGTGACTTATACGTGTCCTTGTGTATTGACAGTCACTGATACGTGTCCTTGTGTTTTGGCAGTGACTGATACGTGTCCTTGTGTATTGACAGTCACTGATACGTGTCCTTGTGTATTGACAGTCACTGATATGTTATTGTATCTCTGGCATATTTCACCAGTGTGGTTTCTATCTGTAAGCAATCGGCGCTGGCTTCTGACGTTTTGGTATTTTTCACATTGTGTTTATTTTGTGGTATATTTGGTCCTTGTGAGTTAAAACTGTTCTCTGTTTTGTCTATGTGTTTTGGTGCATTTTTATAGTGACTATGTTATGTTTTGATGGGTTTTTATAGTGACTATGTTATGTTTTGATTTGTTTGTTACTGCTGTGATATTATTTCCCGTTTTGCTTAAAGCTAATGTATTTCATTACAAAAACGAGAAGTATGACTGCTTCTTTTGTTCTATGCTCTAGACAAAAGCTCAAATGTCTCGTCTTACTTGACAAAAGGACAGCCAGAAAATTAAATTGGATATCGTTACGACTTTTGGTTAAATTGGTCGGTTAGCATTAAGTATTAGTGAAAAAAGTCTCAACCATCTGGGGTAGGGTGGTCATGTTGGATATTAATTAACCCAAAAATTAAAGCACCTGTTCCGAATTACAAGAGCATTATTCTAATTGTGTTTGAATGCCATTGGCATGATGGAGTTAAAGAAGCTGAAACTATCTCAACCAATAATCGAACAGATGGCCAACTATGATTGCGAATTAGTAAAACAAATAACAATTTGTCAGCGTCATTAAAAGTACGCTTCTTTAAAGTTTTGTCAAAATTGGCCTCGTTGAACTTGGACAGAAGTAATATTTTCAGTAAACTCAGAGGATAAAGCATTGCTTATAAATCCATATGAAAAAAAGGGTTTTTGGGTAAGGGTTTGGCTGTTAACGCTGACTCCGGACGGACAGAAGAGGACGGACGCTAAGCCTTAGCATAAACTTAATATTCTATTGAATTTGTGCTTTTATTGGCCATTAGTGGTAAACAGTAATGTAAGTGTGAGATATACCAGTTGGCTAGGGTTGACCAGTATATAAGTATTCAGCAGAAATGATGTGTTAGTATAATAATCTATAAACATTGATACTTTTGAAATCGATCATACACTTTTCCAAAATACCATTAAAAATGCATATCTTGATGTCGATTGTAGTTCAACAAAGAAATACGACATAATTATTTCTATAAATTTACATTTAGCCTATATTATCGTGGTAACTCGTCTGAAACACTAGGTTGGATAATACCCGTGTATTGTTTACAGACGCCTGTAGAATTATACATAACGCATGAATAAGGTATTTCTGGTTGATTCAGCATTTACATCGTGATTTACCAGTATCGTAGCTGTTAATAAGGTATTTAGTATCGCTTCAACCACATGCAGGTATCATGCATGAATGGAGTTCCTGTGAAGAGGAAAACATATCGAAGGACAATTATACAACAACAATTAATCCAAAGGTTGAATTAGCATGTTGAATGTCAGATAGGGTGATTAAGACAGACGTTGGGTATATATATCCTGTTTCTGTCTACTCTGTCATCCTACCATCTCATATACCTCCTGGTTGTCGTTGCTCATACCAGCAAGACCAAGCATCATGATTTCGGCTCTGTTTCTCCTGGTCGTGACTGTAAGTACTTATTGTTGTTCTAACATCCTCAGTAAAATAAGTAAATTTATTGATAATGCAGTGTGTCTTATCATCAATTTTTTGTTACTGTACTATTTTTATTTCCGTTTGAAATATTTCTATTTTATTTAATGATGTCTTTTTTAAGTAAAATATACCTATTTCTTTTTAAGACCTATTTTATACTTGTATGACCCATTTGTGGGTACTGGATTTTAAGTCGGCTTACCATATGATATATTTTCTTGATATTTTAGGGATCATGGTCGCATTTGTTCAGTCTGTTTTGTAAGGGTGTCGATGTAGATTTGACTCAAGTTTAACTCGTTTCATACCATTTCGCAAACTTCACTATGTTACTATTCTGCAACGATTAATCTGCACCTGTAAAACAAATCGACGAAAACAATCATCTGAAAGACAGAATTACCAACTACAGTGTATGAGCGATAAAAATGTCAAATTACGTACGATAAATCTTTTTTTGAAACCCCGTCGACTGGGTTACCTAGTCGGTAGCTGAATATTTTCATATTTTCCATTACACATGTGTAAATTTTCAAAATAGTTTGTATTGCATTTTTGCCAATGAAATATTGAATTCTATCAACATAACTAAATTTAGTTTCTTTCACACTCTGGCATATTACATGAGTAGAGTTAAGACCTTTCTTTTGGAATTGACCAATCAGAACGACACTTTCTTTTTTATTCATTCAAAGTTTCAGATACAGAAAACGGTAGATAAAATGATTGTTTGGGTACATCTTGTTTATCTGTAAGACAATATTTAACTTAAACACACAAGTGATTCAATTTATTACCAAATATCACCAGGGGAGAGCGAACAGCGGTTGAATCGTGTCGAGTAGCCAATTTAAAATGGCCCGCGGCCTTATCGTTCATGATTTCATGACAATACGGCGCCAAAAAACTAATCTACTGATGCCAACGCTTAAGCTTCAGTAAACCTTAAGTAGATGTACAATATACTGTTAAGACTTAATAAATATAGTATTTAATGGTTTCCGTTTGATATATATACATTATCGTGATACTTAATAGAATGTACAGCTTGTTCAAGAATGTCGTTCTCCGTTTCAGATCTCCACCATTGATGGAATGCCGTATTCTTGTGAGTACTGTGATATTTAGTAGAATATTGAGTAATTTAAGATCTTCAAATCAAAAAGACATTTTTAAGATTTCTCAGTATTTTGATATAACATATACACTTATGCAGTGATCTATTTAATTGAATTTTCGTATCTCTTTCATTTCAAAATAGCAATCATAACTGATGGTACGCGTGTTATGTCGTAACATTAACTTGTAAAGCACTTGTTTTTAATGTCTGCAGTGGATGAGGAAGCCACAAGGCTGCTAGAAAGAAGAGGAAAACCTGTCGGTGAGATATATCAGCTTCATATATTGGATTGTTTCAGAATCATATTGCATTACATGATCGCTCTGAATGCATCTATAATAATATACTGTGAAAGAACCAAGAAATAGTGCCAATCAACCATCTACAAAATTACGGACGTTTTTGTGGAGTGAAGATTTTGACAGATTTCTTTCAAGCTAAAGACATACTGTATTAAGTAATAAAGGTGTTGGAAAGATAAAATAGTAAAACAATTGAGTATCTGCTCAAACGGCTATTTTAAAAATGAATTCCAAAGAAAATACCTTTTTGTGCTATTTGTGTACAAACCATTGCATAACATCGAGATCAGCAAAACAGGTGTCAGCCAATCCGACTGCCCTGCAGTAAACTTTCCTTTCTGCATGTCAATTAATGAAAATATATTTATCATCGGTACATATATATGATTATGGTCAACAATAAATAAAACAATACATTTAGACATTTTAAGTTAGTGACATTATCATTATCGCATTAATACCCTCAATTGAAATATTATCTAATAAGAGGCTGATTTTTTTCCATTGTTTAGTTTGTGATGCCGGTAAACCGGGTTCAATCGCATTTGTATTCGACACCGCCGATGGTACAAACGACTTCGACGATCAGAAAGATTACGCCGCAAAAATTGCCAAATTCTTGCCTGAGAATGGAAAGGTCTCGGTCGCAGGCCTCGTCTACGGGGGCTCTACCGCAACCACCATCCCCCTAGGAAGTGAGACAACCTATGACAGGCTCGTGTCAGCCATTAACGGTATCTCTGAAGAGGAACACGGACCGCGTAATGAGGCCGCTGCTCTGACTGCCGCTGCTGGTCTCTTAAAAGATTCCTCAGGAGAAAAGGCTATCGTTCTGTTCGTCGACGGTTCTGCAGCTGACGCAGCGGCTGCCAAAGCTGAAGTTGAAAAGCTTGAAGGAAACGAGATCACTGTCTTTTTCGCCTTCCCCAAGAGTCTGTACAGCTCACTGGAAACTGAGCTGAAGGAGATCGCCACCGAGCCATACAGCCTGTCATTGAACGCCATGAACAGCTTGTCTTTAGCAGAATCAATCGGAATCGAATTCGACATAAAGTACAGCTGTTAGGTAAGTGTTTTACTTCCAGTGAGCTTGATAACTTAACGATGATATTACTGATTTAATTATGCTATTATACATAAAAAAAAACTGAGTTTAGTGAGAGGAATTGACACATAAACATATATTTAACTGTGACGTTATCTACGACAGTTTAAGTAGAGTAAGTTTGTTTGTTACGTGAATTAATTGCAATATCAATGATATTTATTGGTAGTATTTGGTATTATACCATGTGTTCCTGCAGTATATCCATCTGTTCATTTTTCAACTATAAATATATGTTTTCGGTTCCTTTCTCTTTTTTTGCGAAAATTCACTTATTATCCTATCCTTTTTTCTTTTTTTTTTGTATTTCCAATTCATTTTCCCTATATGTTGAAGTTCATTTAGTGTGTGTCTGAATTAAAAATAACAAAATTGAGGGAAGTGTATAAATGTATTTATATTATATGTCTCTTGTTTCTTTTGTAGACCGACTCCTCATCCTGATGTCATTTTTCGCGAAACCTATAAAAGTTTATTTCGTTAGCTTTATGTGCTTAAAAGTTAATGTGCACACAGACACAGACCATGCAGACTCTTGAAGGTTACTGTGGACGATTGATGTGCTGGTATCAGTAGACCTTGGTTACGAGACTTGTACTAAAAACAATGCATAACCGTAGAACGGTTGAAGTGAGCGGTAGAGTGAGTTGGTACTCTAATAATGACGTCACTGTATCTGATATGCAACTTTCTACGAACAAACAGTGTTACTTAACTGATTGAAACTGTATGTGTATGTATAGTATGACGACACATAAGAACTCTATACTGTGTATGTGTATAAAAGCTACACATTAAAATATTACTATCAACCAATGCATTAGCCTCGGTGTTGCGGATTATTTGTGTTTGTCGTCGATGGCATCAGCGCTTCTTCTGCTAATTTCTGTGTTCAATACTCAGCATGTGAATAATACAAAGTGCATTTAAAAATAAAAATATATCACATTGCAGATATCTGGTTATTTATTTGTTTTAGACACCTTTTCTAACCTTTGACCTCGCGTTTGACCTGTTGGTGTTATGCTAGTAATTACATGTATACTTGTTTTGTTTTCTTTATGTACTGTATAACATGAACTGTTCGATGTGTATAAATATTCGTGTTTTTCGTGCTTGCTATGGAATCACGAAAATATACTCGACGTATTTGAATGAAATGTGTGTCTACTGTTTGTTAATATAGGATATCTACTAAAGTTTGAACCGCGAGACGATCTTAATGACTTCACACCACGAAAGAAAGTACCCTAGAACACTTCATGTTATACAATATACAAATCAGAAAAAAAAATTCAAATACATTTGTATAATTTTATATCTATGTTAATGCTTTAGAGACACATGATTATGCAGCTGATTTTTTGTTGAGGTTTATGCTGCATTTCCTTTTTAAGTCGGTGTTTATTTGTTGTTTTGTTTTCCTGGTTGACATATAAGTATACTAATGTATCCTTATACGTAATAAAAAAACGAGTTTCCATGGAACAGGATTTATCAGACTCGTTGAAGCGTTCCCAACAAACTGTTTTTGTACCTCTGAATGATAATAGTTTTTAGTAAAACTTTTAAGTAAATACAAATTATTGAAAATGTGGTCGTTACTTTTCAACAGAGACAAGCTAAAAAAATGCCTTTTTTTAACAAGAAATATTAAAAGATCCCATTAAATGTCAGTATAGTACAGCATGTGGCAAATTCAGGACAGACGGACACTTTTGTAATGATATTTGGATTGTTTCATTACATTCAAAAGCAGGAGACCTATATATTAGATAAGTTATTCCTATCTGAATTTTGTAGGATGTTTTTTTATGCATTGAAATAAAGAATTTTAAATTAACAATAACAGTTATTATGTCCAGTAAATGGACAGTAAATGGAATCTTCAGAAAAAATTTGCGTAAAACTATAAACTATTCCAATTTTTTTTATTACAGCAATACACTAAAACAACCTAACATATGTTAACTTACAACATACCGACTGCGATCACCATACCAAACACTGCTTTCACAATCGTTAAAATTACATTTTGACATTCATAATTTACATACTTATAAACATAATATATATCAGAGTAAATCTCCTGTGGAATGTTCATACTGTTTATCTATTATTAACCATGATATTTTAAATACTGTTAGAACAATTAAAAAACGCTTAATAATACAATTTTGCACGTTAAATCTACTACACCAAAATTGTTCCAGCATAGCTGTTGGCGCAAGAAACAATCGGAAGTGTACTTTGCCTATAACAATAACGTTACCATGAACCTATAACTTGGTTCAACATTGACTAGACGCCTGCAAAACACAGCTCTTCGTGTTTTTACTATGGAGGATATTCATATATGAACGTTTATGTGAGGTGTTGACCTAATTTCAGTATAGAAAGTTATCCACATCCCGATACCTAATGAAGTTTTATAACATTTTAATGCAAACGTTGTAGATACTGCGGTTAGTCAGAAAGAATAGATTTACATGAATGGCTGAGCCATCTTTGTCTTCCGTATTTACATGCCATAACACAACAGTCCTTCATCACAGTCCATACCGCTTTTGCTGTCTATATTGAAACAGAAGCCACACAAACATACCACAATGGTTTAGTGTTTGCTCCGTTACCATGAAGCACAAACTGTTTTCAAGATGTTTGGTCCCACGGATGCCATCATGTGATAATCTTTTACAAGGAAAACGTGTTGAGAACTATGATGACTGGCAATCTTTTCCAATGAACGTTGGTCTAAACCAGACCCTGTCGCGATCACAAATGTTTCCAGTTTAACTCTCTTGTTTTTCTTCGCTTCAAAAAGGGCGTGTTTCGTGATATCAATATTGCTGTCGACAAAATGTATTATTGTCTTTTGACTATTTGCGCGTCCCCGTCTGAGCATGCGCCGTGCCCGTTTTATGATGTCACCATGATCAGAAATGGCTACACTGCTAAGTCTGTTGCTGAAGTCTTCCACTGTGCTGAATCCTCTGCTTACAGCTTTGAAGTTTATTTTACTGCTCACCAGACCAACCTTCAACCCGTTGCTTTGATTGTTAATATTTAACATCAAAAATTCTATCAGATTAAAAATCTTCTGAGCATTTCTAGCGCCAATACTTATCTCATCTACAGAAAATATCAAATCCACAGGCCTGCTGACGTGGCAGTCTGAAAAATGACAAGGAAACATAACATGAATACATTTAAAGGTAGAAGTTAAAATAATATAATATATATTTCATATAAGATTCACTAGTCGCGTTTATATATATTAGCCACTCTTCCGGAAGGTATCTCTACTACTGCTATCATATTTTACATCATGTTGTATTGCATAAAGCACACACTGACCAGTGGGTTAGCCAACATGTATCAAGGGCTTCTCAAAATAATAAATATCTATACGATTACTAGTAGTTTAATGATTGACAGAAGTTGTCCTCACCAGAAACTGCGAATCAACCAGTCAAGGTCCAAACACACATCCTGAACTTTATTCTTAGGTCCATGCTATAACCCCGGCGCCTACGTATTTCAGCATACCGCGGTTAAAACACTCAATACCTCATTGCCAGCTGCGATAACAAATTCATTGTATTTCAAAATGTGAAGTCTATAAAACGAGACACGTAACACTGGCATAGTACACTGATTTAAACAAGTGTTGAGGTTAACAACAACAGCTAGGTTCTCCACGTGGCATGAGTTACATCTATCACGGCCTGTGTTGATCGTCAAGAGTAATGAAAGGAAGTTTACTTACATGATGGTCTGCGCAGGCTTGCTGGCGGCTCTATTTGGACTGTCAAAACAAAACAACAAGGCTGTAAAGCTTTCAAACCTGAGTAAGGTACGAGAGTAGTAATATCGCGTTGATGATGATTTAACATGTATATTTGACAAAAGAGATGTAATATTAATATATTCAGCGCAAAAATGTCGGGCACGGTTTACTTGAAATTCTAGTTTTAAAAGAAATCTGCTGTAGCCAAAAGTTGGCATTTTGTAACATGATTAAGGGTTTTCAAGGCCCCTTTCCCTTTCTTGCTATTTTCGCCTTTGTTAAGGAATGCTTTAGACACAGATCTAATCTGTTGTAGTACCACTTATGAATCCTCAATACCCGAAATGGCCATATGATGTTGTCCAAATGTTCACTTATTGAGCTTTCTGTTTCGGCTTATTAAAGAAAATTTTAAATAATTTCCTGACTTCGATATTCTATTGTTTGCTTGATTGTGATTATTTCGCTTTATATTCACTGGAAACAAACAACAATTTAAATGCCTAAAACTAGGGATAATTCGCTAAGGCTACCTCTCGTAGGACTAACCTCGTAATTGGAAAGGGGAAATAAATACTTACATTCGCAAAGATGTATCTTCAGCAGATCTTTCAGGGACTGAACTATCCTGTCATCGTCGTTAGAGAACACAAACGTTTTCGCAGGGCGGGAAGAAATAGAGGAGAGTTGTTTTCTGATGGCGGTACTCTGACCAACAGTGTACAGGTACATTCCTTTAGCCTTCGAATCTCTTGCATGCCTCTTGGCTTCTTTTCTGTTGGTTATTCTGTTTCCCACAAACAAAATGGCGAGATGTGCAACCTCACGCCTCATGCTTGAATTAGAAAAGCCGTCCGTTGAAATGTATTGTAACGCTTTGTCGATTTTGCAAGGACCGGTTGTTTCTAGTGGAACATCGTACATGATTGTTGATGTAGCGTTCCCTATGTTTGTACCATCTTCAAATGATGAAACATTCATGACCTCATCAGCATACGTCACAACACTGATGCGAGTGCTTTTGTCACCAAAAGTAAATACTCGTAACAAGTCAATGGCATATTTCTTCTGCTTTGCTAATTGCGCTGGAGTTACATCTCCTGATGTATCAAAAACCAAGAAAACATCTGCTGGTTTCCCGCTGCAACCTGAGCCAAAGAAAACATTCAATTATTCCTTAATTAATATACAGATTGCCTCCTGCATTGAATTAGAAATTTCACTATGGGAAAGATAACAGGGTTTATCTTAGTACAATATATAGCTGTCAAGTTCCGAACGCTTCATTCCACATGTGGAATCCAAATTCGAAAGAACACTGAATAATAGAATAACGTGGGTATTGACTAACGTTTACTCGTCGTAGCCTTACATTTCAATATAAGAATGTTCACCGGCTACAATTTAACGATTTAAATGTGATTTGTATATGTTACATACGTCATGGTACAGGGATTACATGTTTTCACCTGCATTCAAACTGTCTTTTTCCGTATCCATGCAAACCCCGTTACAACTAACAACTCACATGATCAGAAATGTTAAGAAAGCTTACGAACAACAAATAGAATTCCGCAATCGGTTCTCTGTATCGATTTTCTTTATTGTTAAGTTGTGATATAATACTGAAGTCTGTCACGTCGAATCAGTTAAGGATTGGAATGCTCCTTTTTCACGTTAGTTATGGAAAGCAACCAATTTCGTTCAAACGTATTCCATGATGCTCGGTAATTCATTTTAAAATTTGATATTTTGACCAGCAATAAACATTTGTCTACGATTCATAGTAAATTATATTAATTCACTATAACATAAAAGCGGATGATATGCTTAAAGTATCGAAAACTAGTGAACTTATTTATTTTCATTTTGTAACTGTCTTTGTGATTTTAATGAACGAAAACAAATTATAAGTGTATATTTATTTCGGGCGATATTTGTGTAGCTATACACGTGTTAAATAAGGGGATAATGTGTACGTCATGCATTGTATAAGTATAGTCTCACCTCTTGGTATTGGGTTTCGCTCCCCCAGTGTGTTGTGACCGATAGTCCAGTCATGAGAATCAACCTGCATCTCACCGTACATGTCTGTAAATTGTCATATGACACTAAGTTTTTATATTTGAAACTTAACGACAACATTAATAAGGAAATATAATATTTAATCAGCTAAGTATACCCATACAGAACGCTTGGAATGTACGCTTACTTTTTGAAAGAAAGTGTCCAACTTGACTAGAATTATTTAAGTTGGCTATTTCCAAATGTACATCAAAGTTATAGAAATGTGTCGTCGGTAGACTAGTAAACAGGTGCTTGTATCAATATATGCAAACATAACTGTCAGTGTGCTGTACTACATTATAAAGTAATGAAAATTAAACAAACAAAAACTTCATCATATATTATAGTATCTGATATCACAAATATGGACAGTGTTGCAAAATTTGGGCAAGCATTAAACATTTTAACACGTAATATCTATAGTAGGAGGAAGTTACTGGTAATACATATAATGATCTCTTTTCCGGAATTATCCAAATATAGTTATTTGCCTGGAATTTAAAACTATTTTAATTTGTTTACTTGCTATATGTCACCAGGAAGATTGAGAAGTCTCCTTTTACATCTGATTTGATACTGAACAAGTCCGACATTACAGGAAATGTCCGTGCTCTATCTTCATGTACAAGTGTGTCTAACATTTCAGTGAAATGAACTTTATTTACGCTAAAAGTTCCCGTAAGTACACTACGCAAGTAGGGGGAAGTTGGTCGTTATACAAGGAACTTCCTCATACGTAATATGACCCCATCCTTCATCCGCTGTGGTGTATATAAATACCCTCCACAGTCACACACTTATATATACTTATCAAACTTGCACTTTCATGAGATTTCATTTAATATAATTCTCATAATGTTTTGAAATTCATAACGAAACTCGGCGTGTGCTGACATTCCAGGTTATCTTTAACTATAATAAGGATATTATCTAAGACCTAAAACCAGATCCATCATTGGAACCAACATCCCTCAAACTGATGTGCATCGGGACCTCAAGATTAGATCGAAATTCCTCTGCACATCTACTTGCTACGCCAAGAATGCAATATGCACATTGTTTATATTTGAGAATGTTTGTTCGGTTGTAGCTATCAAAACCATACTACCTGGAGGAGAGGCAGCACTGGCAACAGTCTGAAATAAAATAAACAACCTTGTATAAACATAGATGTTGGTTTAAACAGAATACTGTTTAGAGAGCCTTTCCTGAAACATGTTGAGTATATCTTTGTAATAGGGTTGAATGAATGTGTTTGTCTATTCGACAACGTTTCATTTCAATTGTTTTAGGTTCTGATTAATTACCACGTAACGAGTATCTATCATCATCAAATGTGAAACAATTCACGCATATTCATTTGATATGTACAATGTACCTTTAAATATTTTACAAGAATGTTTTACCTTTACAAGAATGCAATTCCAAACGTTTATCTCTTTAAAGATGAACGCAACATACACACATGTGATAGACCTTTAACATTTGGTACTAGATACAATATACCACAACATGAGGGAACAATGACTCTCACTGACATTGATCACCCTTTTGAAACTTGAAAAGGTACCGCTTTATGGTTGTTATAGCTTTCTCTTTACGAATATATTGTCATTTTTTTAAATTCAAATACAATATATTTCTTATTTTCAATCGCATTTAAACAATTAATAAATTCGATATGTAGAGACACGTTTTCGGTCCACTTGACAAACGTTCCCACGCCAGTCGTTTATGAATGGGCACCACTGTATTTATAACGAAACATGTATAACATATTGTTCACACGTGAAGATAAAGCCAGATTTCAATGATGACAAGGGATGATGCCACCTGAGAAACAAAACAGGTCCATGCAATAAGAATGCGGCGTAATCATGTCAAGTCGTCATGAAACTGTTTCGCTCAAGCATGGACTCTCTGCTCAAACCGACTGTTTTGTAACTCGCTTAAATAATGTGACACGGTCAAAGGTTAAGTGTAAACATTAAAAATAAATACGCAGCTTTAAGTCTCTCCAAAATTCGTCTGAATCAGTGACAACATGTAAGGTACCATTGATTTATCACTAGAACGATTCATTGACCTTGAGCACAGACTCGACATCAATAGTAGGATAACGGTATTCATAAATACAGGACCTGTTCCATAACCATGACAATTACAATTATCTTCGATATATTTTTAATAACGTGTGTTTGTCAAACATGCTTTTGTTGATTTCCTTTATCATAATAAATTATTATAAAAGTAACTAGTTCGGGTTTTGGTTCTTTCCTGACAATGGTACATTGTATTTGAACGTTTCCTACCTGGCTACATTTTGTAAGAAGACTTTTTTTCACGAAAGCTAAAAGCAAATCAAATGTTAGTCATGCATTCCTCTTGTTAGAAATTGTGATCGTTATGCTACTTATATGATATATACACAAGCAATAAAATTAAATGTAAATATCACAACATTTGACCGAAAAAAGTATATGGGGCGAAATTCTTTGGTCTAGACAATTGTATTTAATACAGCACGCGTTGTAAGGCGACATAATGTGACCTTGTCAGTCACTGTTTCAGTTCACGATGCGTTCTTGTAAATTACTCTATCATAATGTTGTCACAATTACAACTAATCTTTGTGTCGCGAGGACATAATGACTCAAAATGTCAACTAGAAATGTTCAGCAGAGATCGCATACTTACAGAATAATCGGGATTTGTTATAGAACAATTGTACATGTTTCGATTTTACTCGATACTGATTCGTAGATATGACACGTTTTATATACTACTTACAATTCCGAGGAGTAAACAAATCACCAGTTCCATTGCTGTCGATGATAGTTTGTTGAAGGTTTACACTTAGTGTTGGTGGTGTGGGTGGCGAGTTCACATCAGCTGTCAATGACGGTGCCCAGGTCTACGAGGTATTTATACTCGGGACATCATGGGTCGAAGCTTACAACTGGTATGTGGGCGCAATAGTTTCGCGTATTTTTATAAAATTAGAAATCCGTCTTTAGTCATTGGAATGAGATCTCGGGCATCCGCTCAAGCTCACACCTCACACCGGATACAGCAGCTGACATCTTCACGAAAGCGCGGGAAATGATGGGTTGCAGAGGGTTATACATATATCTCAAACAGTCCCGCCCACTTGTACTCTAAACAATCATATAAGTATGCCTCATTCCAGACCGTTATAACTGATGTGATGGTGTTTGTGTGGAAAAATTCAACAAATCAAATCAGTTTCCGGTTATGAATCATATAGGCGATATATGTTAGACAACATGTTAACTGCTTCTTTTCATTTAATAATGAGGTCGATTTAAGATGCAACTATTTAAAAATAATATACTAAAGCACGATTTGTTTCCTCGCCCATAGCCTCATTGCGATTTCACATCAGAAAAATGTGTGATATTGCACACGCAATATGACTAGATAATTATGCCTTCTACAAAGTTAGCGTGAAGCTTGAAGCACGTTTTAGATAGCTATCAGAAACCAATAACGTTGTATAATTTAACTTGATGTTATCTCCCATCACGCCATGCATGTCTGCCTTGTTTAGTGCGGACAGATAGGGTTATTACGGACGGCGAATACCATGCACTGTTATATTGATGTAGATGCCGATGGTCAAACGAACTGCGTTATAACTGACTGTTGACTCATTCCGTCTGATACTATTTATTAGTTAAGGGAACGTTCTAATTGTTTCATGTACATCAAATTCTACGAACATGTTCGATTTTTTCGTCGATTGAGTTTAGTAACAGTCATATCCCTGGAACAACCTGAATAACGATATCAGAAATTCACCCTCATTAAATTCGTTTAAGTCAAATGTTAAAAAGTCCTTGTTGGTGAACATTAATTCAAGTAAGAAATTTGTTAATTATGGATCTAGGAAATTAAATATTCTTCACTGTCGCCTAAGGAACCGAACAAGCTCACTCAACTATGATCTTTTTATAGCCAACATAACGGATTCAGCAGAGTGTAGATGTGGGCATCCCTGTGAAGATTCTTATCATTTTTTACTTTTTTTGTTCCCTATATCAGAACTTACGTAGACTATTATATACAGATCTAGCATGGTACGATGGTGTTATTGATTTAAACTTACTCTGTAATGGTGACGATGGTGCTATCGATGTAAACTTACTCTGTAATGGTGACGATGGTGCTATTGATGTAAACTTACTCTGTAATGGTGACGATGGTGCTATTGATGTAAACTTACTCTGTAATGGTGACGATGGTGCTATTGATGTAAACTTACTCTGTAATGGTGACGATAGTGTTTCTTCATATGATAATAAAATTGCCAAATCAGTACAAAACGTTCTAGGTAGGTCGGGAAGATTTGATTAATTCCCTGTTTTTCTATTTATACCCTCATCACCCTTTCTCTCTCCTGCTATCCTTCTCCACACCCACACCCCACACCCCTGTAATAAGATTGTAAGAAATTAAAAATAAATACGTTGTTTCTATAACGACATGAGTCGCTTACAACAGATGTTTGCCATATATGAAAGTATTAAAGCATAACATGTGCGAATACATTCGCCTGGGTTGATGGATAATGCGGTAAACGTATTAATTAAATTCTCATTAAAATTATTTCCTATAAAACCAATCCTACGTAATAGTCATCTAGCCTGTTTTATGTAGTCACTTTTTTATTGCTACACCCTACTGATATAACCTATAACCGTCACTACTATTGCTCAACCTCTTGTTTTTAGCTGGCACTTCTAAATGTCAGAAATAAAGTTTAGCTGATGATTTTACGATGAAGGTATAAACTACAAAGCTTCCTATTGATTATTTATGCCACATATATCTTATAATGCTTAATTCATTTAAGATTTCACTATATCAATTATGGACTTTTTTAGAGGAACATGTCGGTATATGAACATATGAAAGCAATATTGACCGCGATGAAGTCAAGATTAATACTTTAGCAATTGCAGGTTAATATAACGGTAAGTTCACCGAAATTTAAGTACTTGATTTTCTATCATATATACTATGCATGAAATTATGTGTCTTTATCTCTAAACAAGACGGAGGCATTGTGTTGTTTCAATTGAAGTGCAGTTATAAAAGAATATGAACTGATTTTTTATTTAAATATAAATCATCGAGTCAATATCACAAATCACCAACCTCTACGTGATTTTGATCCGACCAATGAGGATGTAGATATAAATGGTGATTAAATAATGATATTTGATATCATTTAATGATATACTGTCATTGGAATTGACATTAAGCCTCGTTCTTATTAACGATATACGTTATTTAACTTTGACATGGATATCTATTTTTATAAAGTTACACAAGAATGCGGTTTGGAATCTTGAGAGAGGATTGAGGGAGATAACTCTAACAGGTGCCTCAAAACAATAAGGACCCTAGTGTATAATACCCACCGCCGGTTCGTGTTCAGCCACAGTGACCTTAGTACACACTTAGTGGTTTTGTCAACGCGTGACAAACTTGACACAAACGTATATCACCACAATGTCTGAGGTTTACTGGGCAATCCTTAGGTTAGTACTACTTTTACATGAGCCTAACCCAAAATATAAACGACAACCTCCTTGGCAAAATAAGCGACCCTTTCCTTAGATTTGCCGAGATGTTAATGAAACGCCAAATACTGAAACACATATACAATGCAACTCAGCTTGCATCATTCCGCATCGGAATCACGATCCGACCCAAAATGAAACAGCTACGATCCAAAATGTGGTTGTGTTATGGTGAATTTTCAAAATGATTTTAAATATTTCCAGATGCGTTTCGATGTCCGGCGTTGAAACCCAACAATATTTGTGTTCCCTAAATAATGTCCCCGATTATCCTCCAAGCGATGGATATCTACTGTTTATACAAAGTAAGTTCTTTTATGCAGGAATGTACAGTGTATCACAGCACTGCGGTCCAGGGTCGATACATAAATGGTCGTCATTACTGTACATTTAGTAAAAACATAGTCTGGAGGGCTTTGTCAGTTTTGTATGTATAGTTTACCGTATTTGGTATATGTGGCATTTCATGAAGTCTTTTGTTCTGTTGACTTATTATTATACTGTACTCATAACCTCTGACATTAAAAATACAGAATTACTGAAATACATGCGATTTAAATGAAAATAAAAATCATTATACTGAATGAATTAAATTAAATGATAACATGTGCAATGAAACTAAACGTTAGATTAAAATAAGACTTTTTAAAATATCATCAGAATTGTCTCAAACTTAGAAGAATATTATTGTGCTTCTTTTGTTCATGTGACAATTATGAAACCTTTCCAAGGAACACTTGCAGCCAAGATGATGTAAATTTGCTTCATGATGCTAACCGGACTGTTTTTAAGCAGATGCCACTCCCTCTTGTCAACATTTCAACCACGTTTGTTGGTCATTTATTGCCAGTAAGTATCCAGTCCTGAACCCTGTTTCCTCGGGCTTCCTCAGCATATTAATTCAGAATGAATTTCAGTAATTTGAAAGTCTCGTTAATAAGCATGAACAATTGTGGATGGATTATCTAAGATTGTAATAACATTCCTGATTCTACCCACGGTTTCTACATGTCCTTGTTGCTTCGGTGTTCAAGAGCTTTCTTCGAATACAATGATATTTGTGATGGAGTCGACTGCTGACGGAAAAAACATACAAGAAAGGCTTCCATAGAAGATTTCATATGCTATTTTTTGTGTGATATGAAGGTTGATATGCTTGACAATGCTCATTAGTGTGTGTTGATTATGTCCATTAGTGTGACTTGATTATACCCATTAGTGTGACTTGATAATGATCATTAGTGTGACTTGATTATGCCCATAAGTGTGACTTGATTATGCTCATTAGTGTGACTTGATTATGCCCATTAGTATGACTTGAGTATATCCATTAGTGTGACTTGATTATGCCCATTAGTGTGACTTGATAATGCTCATTAGTGTGACTTAAGTATGCCCATTAGTGTGACTTGATTATGCTCATTAGTGTGACTTGATTATGCCCATTAGTATGACTTGTTTATGTCCATTAGTGTGACTTGATTATACCCATTAGTGTGACTTGATTATGTCCATTAGTGTGACTTGCAAATACTCATTAGTGTGACTTGATTATGCTCATTATTGTGACTTGATTATGCTCATTAGTGTGACTTCATTATGCTCATTATTGTGACTTGGTTATGCTCATTAGTGTGACTTGATTATACCCATTAGTGTGACTTGATTATGCTCATTAGTGTGACTTGATTATGCCCATTAGTGTGACTTGATTATGCCCATTAATGTGACTTGATTATGCCCATTAGTGGACTTGATTATGCTCATTAATGTGACTTGATTATGCCCATTAGTGTGTTGCATTATGCGCATTAGTGTGACTTGATTATGCCCATTAGTGTGACTTGAGTATGTCCAATAGTGTGATTTGGTTATGCCCATTAGTGTGACTTGATTATGCCCATTAGTGTGACTTGATTATGCCCATTAGTGTGACTTGATTATGCCCGATAGTGTGATTTGATTATGCCCATTAGTCTGACTTGATTATGTCCATTAGTGTGACTTATGGTTTTGTTGCCACTCACCGAGCTCTCGGTTTGAGAGCGTAAAACAACACTTGGATTTTGTAACCTATTTATATGGCGGGTGTCATCGATAAAGCAGAAGATTCTTTCCCTTCAGGAACATTTGGTCTTAACCACCTAATACTTTTACAGTGGTTGCCTTGTAAACTATTCTTTTGTTCATATTTTACCTTTTTATTGATCTTCAGTTTGAATAATGGGTCTGTTGTGACTTCGGAATCTCTTTTGTTTTTAGCGATGAGTTCCAATCTAAGGACTTACCTGGTTAATTTTCAGTTATCATAATAAAAATCACTGATTTAAAATTTATGTTTATATGTCAATATACTGGAGACTCTAAGAGCATTTGAAACCTAATGAAATCTATTCAACAAGTCTTTTACCTTTAACTAAAAACTACGGAACACGTTTATACAAATTAATTGTTTATTTGCAATTCCCTGCAAACATCGAACTTAATTTCATTGTTACAACATTCGGAAGCTATTCCTGTGCAGTATATTCTTACACAGCGGAATGCTTATTTCAATTGAGCAGCTATA